AAATCATAATGAATAAATGTCGCACCGGAAGTAAAGTGAAGTCTGGCCGAGTATTCCCATCCTTCCTTTTCCGGCTTAACATTTCCGCTTAAGTAAGGGGGAATATCCGGAAGGGTTGGCGGCGGGTTTTATTCCTAATGGGAAACGCTGTTTGGCATAATAAACTGTGTGTTTCTTTTTCACCGCCTTTGTTTTTGCGTTGAAAGCGTGTTGACTTTGTTAATAAGTTTCGTAATAAGTTGCTGGCTAAAGAAGGCTAAAGAATGTCCAAGGATATAAACAAACCGCAAGGGCATAAATAACCCAAGAAAGCGGTTAAAAAAGTGTGGTGCAAATGGAATTTGGGGAGACTGATTAGTAGAGTTCAAGAGAAATATACTTCACAAACAGGGTCTATTAACTTTTTTAGAGTTCTTGTGAATTTTAAATAGTGTTGCGTTTGGGAGGTTGCCTCCAACGAAATGGGCTACTCTAAAGTTAAACTTAATATAATATAAAACCTTAAGCTTAACCCAAGGCTTAAGCTTAGACTTTAAAAATGTTGTAGAATAGTCCTTGCATAGTTGGCTTAAAACAACTTCCTTCTTCAGCAGCTTTAGAAGGACGTATCATTCAACTGTCACCAGACCACAAAACCCTCCAGCCAAAAGCAAAGCCAAAGTTCTGGGCTAGACAAAAACGCAGTTGAGCCACGAGAACGACAAAAAAGATGATTAATTTACGCGTCCATTGGTCCATCCGTTGTCCTTTCTCCGGAGTCGCCTTCAATGGGACTCGGTCCTCATTGTTTGCGCAGATTTACAAAAGCAGCCGAAACTTAATTTGATTAACTTTGAGTAGGTCTTTTTTCGTCGCCTTTGTCTTTCCGGCATCGGTTCATCAGCCGGTGTTGGGGCTAAGGGATGCGTGGTGGCCAGTGAAATGCGGATTGGAGTGGATTGATGTGGCAGGATGGGGCTTCACCCAGGATCTATGAGATGGGGGGAGCTAGGAACGTTGATAATGATGTGGCCGGCCATCATCAGCGCTCGTCCGTCGGCCATAAAAAGTTACAGACTTTTAAGTGTCCTGCGTTGGCATTTTATTTTAGTTTATTGGTTGGCAATGGCAAATGAGAATGCCGGCTAAGGGGGGAGGTGGAGCAGCGTCCTGTTTATGGCCGGGGCGTTCTACATAGATGGGGCTCGTAAATCGGTATTAGTGTACTTAAATGATGTCCAAGGCACTAAGCAGACAATGAATACGAATCGCGAGGAGACGGGAAATTGAATGCCAATTTTATTTGAACTTAATTAAATGGCTGAAACTTTTAGCCAAGACAAATAAACGAGGAAAACAGATGTTGCCGCTAAAATTCAACCTCCTATGAGTGCAAGGGTATAGAAAGTTCGCCTTTGATATATTAATCCTTTCTGACTTATTTTTGTATAGTCTCTATTATTGGATTTTCAAGACATTGATTTTTTAAATTATTTCGTTCGTCTGTTTCTCCGCACAGCGTGTGTATATTTTATACACCCAATATTGAACTTTGTATAACTCAATTAAGCAACTGCCGAAACTAAAATTGCCTTCATATATGCATTAGTTTGGAATCCAGTCTGGAACTATGGGAGGTCTAATGTCTATGCTTTGGTAATATGGTTAAGGGCGTTATGCTCTTGTTCTTATTGTTTTTGCCAGGCTGCTGCGATCCTTTGTGCCTTTACAGTTTCAGCTGCTGTTCTTGGTAATGTTTGTTTTCATTACCATTATTGTTGCTATTGTTGCAACAGCAACAAACATTGACGCAACTACACTTGAATGCATTTTCTACACAGTAAGCTTGGAAGAGAGAGGGCATCTACAATAACACCAGCAGCAACAACAATAATAATTGCAAAGGCAACACCAACACCAACAGCAGCAGCAACACTAACAACGCCAAAAGCCCCCAAAGGTATAATTTCAATTTCAACACTTTACAAACACGCCACAGTTGCGTCATTAACTGTAAAGTTTGGATCCGCGTCTCGTCTGCAGTTTGCAGACTTTATACTAAGTACACTGAAAAAAAAAAGAATTGAATAAAAATATAAACATATGAAGCTTAAAAAAGGTAATAAAGAAAGACTTTAAGAGACTATAATTTTACTAAAACTAAGTATTCGATTTCAGCTTTCAAAATGTATTTTTTTCATGTTACATGATTAAATTTTATTCAATTTATTTTATAAAATTTTTGTAGTGTTTTTGTGTCTATTTGCCTCAACGGCAGTAAGTGTGCTCGCTGACGGAAATGCCCGAAAGCAACGACGTCGGAGATGGGTTCAACGCAACGTCAGGTGCAGCAGCAAAAACTGAAACAGCAACAGCAACCATTGAAACTAGTATCTAGAACAACAACAACAAAACCAAGAGGAACAACAACAAAAACAATGGGTTGTTGCTGCCGTTTCATAAAACTTTATTGTTGAATGTTTGTTGATTTGCGCCATTGCTGTCAGCGATGGATGTTGCTGATGTTGTCGCGGCTGCTGCAATGCTTCAAGCCATACATAAAATCATTTCAGCCACCCCAGCTCTCGAGCATTGACTAATGCTGACACCCCGAAAGCAACACGAGTGCCCCACAGCACCAGCAGCAGCAGCAGCACGACAACATGGCGAACATTACAACAGTTGTGGACCATTAAGTTGACGCTTTTCCATTGCATTTGCCAGGGCGATGTGCTTGTCTGGTTGTCGGGGGCGTTGATAGCCATCTAACATCTAACATCCGAGTGAACGAACAGCCGCCAAGCAAAGTGGAAAAAGGCCACAGTTCCGCTTGGTTATATCTCCGCCACGTCAAGGTGAATGCCGACGAGCATGTCAATGGAATGCCAACGAGGAATCTCTAGTTCCAACCAAATCGATTTCTTTTTTACATCCACGAAGGAAGAAAGTGCGACCCCGACGGGAATAATTTCATTTTTATTACCGCTGAAAGCTATTCATCATTTGCTTATTTTTTTTGCATAATAAATATAATAGTGGGAATAATAATAGAATTACTTAGAGGTTCTTAATACAAGGTGATTTATGCCTTTTCTGTTTTGTTAAGAAGTAAAAATATATTATTAAAAAAGTAATATGTGTTTATTCCAGCATTATTATGTTAACCACTGCTGTATATCTATAACTTATTTTTCTTCCTTCATTTCTCATCCACTAAATGCTGCCGGATGCACAAGCTGCAAAAACACCGCCAAACAGGATTGCACATTTCTTTTATGCAGTAATCATTTGCGGCACTTTATTGAATTCCATGCGGAAGCAGTGGGAGTGGTAGTGGTAGCAGGCAATGCAGGAGTGTAACCGAAAACAGCCCGCACAACAAGTTCCGCCCACATCCGCTGGCAGGTGTTGGCTTTTCCTCCAGCGCACTCTAACCGCACAGCTACACTCCCGTTGGCAAGACGACCATGGTTTTTCGCTTTTCCTCCATGCGCTTTTCCTCTTGTTATTCCCTCCAACACACATCACATGCCTGCTTTGGCTTCTTGCCTGCTTGTGCTCCGTGATGTTTGCCTTGCTTTGTTGGTCCAAAAAACTGCAGGAAAGCGTTGCATACTTTAAGGCGAGAGTCAACCGCAAAGTGAATTCCTCTATCGACAGACGCCATCTTGTGTTTTGTACCCATTAGGAAAGGCAAGGGTATATTAAGATGAAAAACTGGAGAAAAAAATATTACTATTTTACCAAAAGATTTTTTAAACGCTTCCTTTTAATTTTTATTTATTAAAATGTAATATTTTTGCAAATAAATATATTTTGTTGTACCATGTATAGATCCATACAGTATCTCCAAGTCCAGCCAATCCCTTTCAATAAACTTGGTTATTTTTTTTGTGCTCTCGAAGTGTATGTGAGAGCTCGGGGAGCGGTAATCTTGGGCAATCTTAATGCGGATATATTAAACTTATTTTTACAGCATTTCTCTCGGCGAACGAATCGCCTCCCCAATCTGGATTCTTTATTTTCATATACTTTGTATTACTTACGCCATGCCCCTGTGCCTTCCACATCCTGCTGGCTCTTCAGATTTAGTGAGCGCGATAAACTGCACCCCGCCCCTTTTCCTCTGGACACTTTTCAACACTGGCAGACACAGGCAGTAAGTGGTGTGTAGAGTGTGTGTGCCACCTAGTATGTATAGTATTTCTTAACTTGAGGCGCTTGCCACTTCCGCTGGCGGTCTATAAGAAAACACTAACACACTCTCAGTATATGTGGATGGAACTTTTCTTCTGGTTTCCATACATTTTTTTTATTTTCGGTTTTTCTTACACTTATTTTAGTTTTATTGCCTGGCATTTTATTGCACAAATTTTAATATTTATTTTTGCTGTTGGTTTATTTTGCACTAAGCCCGAAGGCACTAGCAGTGTGTGGGATTGGAGTGTGTGGGTCTTGGTTCTCCTCCACACATACGCGGAATGTTTTGTTTGCTCGCGTTTAGTTAGCGTTTTTCTATTGCAGCTCCATTTTAATGTTTAACAAACTTGAATGGCGCAGTTGAGAGCACCCAAACAAACAGAAAGAATATACAAACGAATTTCCTCCGTTTTTATTTTTGCTCCTCGCTTGCCTCTTGTTTGTGTGAAAAACTTCGGTGGAAATTATTTTAAACTGTTAAAGCTTTTTACCCGTTTTTGCCTCGTTTTTCTGCTTGGGGTTTTATCTTATTTACCAGAAAATACGAGTATTATCATTGGGATTTATGCAGAACTCTGCCGCTGAGCGGAATTAAATAAAAGAGTTAATTCAAAGCTTTTAAAGTCGCCACAAATATAATGAATTACTTGTTGGCTTAGTTCGACAGATTTATTTTACATTTCATAAGCCACCACCGAATCTACTGTTAAATGTACAAAAATTTAAATTGTTCACCTACACAAAAAAAAAATAAACCAAGAACGGACGAGGACTCCGATCTCAAAATAATGACCATTCGTGTAGATTTGGACATTTCCTTTTTGTTAAAGCCATGGATATCTAGGTCCTGGTGGGGGTTGGTAAAAGAAATTATGGTTTTGTGCTCCGATGTAATGTTGCGTTGAACTGATCCTTCTTGAAGCATACTCCGGCTTATGGTTCTGATAGGAAGTTGCCGAATTGTGGTCCCCATAGCCACAATGCCTTGAGGATCTGGTCGGTCCATGCAAATCTCTAAGATAGTTATGTTTTTATTTAGGCTTTTAATGATATTTTTCATGGATACTTACCGTGCTATGTATCTGTTATGCGAGCTAATTCTGCTGTTATCAATACAATTACAGGGAAAATACTCAGCTGGAACGGGTTGCTGGTTAAATCTTGGAAGATCATACGGGTTAAGAACCGAGGACATAATAATGCTTTTGGAAACATTATCGTTGGCATAAAGAGTCGCAAACTGTTCAATGTTCTCCTTTAAGAGTTAATAATTTTTATGTTTTTGTAGAAAATTTATGAAAAATTCAAACCTTACATCCGGACAAAATATACCAGGTATCAGTTCGCCGCTAAAAGCCATACTTAAATTTGACAAAAAAAATTTTAAAAAAAATTCGAAACTAGATAAATGGAATTTAGATGCGGACTTTGCTGTGGTGGCGACGTAAGTCAAAGGTTCACTCAAAATGTATGACCAATTTCAGTTTTAATTTGACGTATTTTCCATGAGTAAAAATATTATGAATTCTTTTCGATAATGTTCAAAATATTTATAAGTATGTATATTATATAAATTGGTACAGCAGCTGTACTAACCAGATAATACGTTAAAAGTACTTAATATAAATATTTATTTTAAGCAACCCTTTACTTCAATTAACATGATTATCATTACGCTGGCCCTCGGGCAACAACCCAACCGTAAAACAGTTGACAGGCAATTATTGCACCCTTATATGCACATAAGGCCATCAACTACTCGGCACTTTTATTTAAATACCCATTTATTAATTTGCGCTGAAAATCTTTTGCGACAGCTTCTGGATTTCACAGAAAATTCTACAGCTGACCCGTTGCTGTGGCAACCCCATTACAATCGACTTATTGTGAATAATTATTTGCGGCTTACAAGTATTTTTTTCGCGTGCTCTTAGCGTATGCAGAATTTATGAATAAATCATTTGATCCGGATTCACCTGTGACTGCTCTTCGGGCGGGTCGGCCACGTCGTCCTGAAACGTCCCGGTCCTTTTCACCGGATAATATGCATTTCTGTAGCCTCGTTTCAGGTGGCCACTGGGCAGCGGCCGAGTGACGTTGAGCTTGTTGTTGAGTTTTTAATTAATCGAGAACTCATAAAAATATTTAAATGCAAAAATTCGAAGAGCTTATGGTCAAATGGCAAAGGGTCCGGCCAGATCGTCAAGAGCCGATGACGAGTGGGAAATGCCAATGCATGTTTTATTGCCACTGAGTTCATAGCATGCCAAATGAGTTTGTGGTGAAAGGAAACATGACTGCGAAATATTAAATTTTAAAAGCTTATTATTTTACCTTTTTAATTAGGGAATGCTCGGACATCGATTGAAGTTCTCGAAATTCCATAAAGCTTAATTTAATAAACACACAATAAAATGCATTATGAGTTTTTAAACACTACTTTTAGATCACACTTCCCTGATACATTGGTCACATTACTGTGTAATCGATATCTTTATAGACTGTCGTACAATCTTTTGTAAAAGTGAAAATTTTCTTAAAATAATAATTGATTGCTTAAATTGCAATTATGGTTGATCCCTCTGTGCATAGCAAACACCGCAACCTTTTTGGTTTGTATATTTATAAGGAAGAAATTCTGCAAGGTTCGAATTATTGTTCATCATGTTTCTAGGGTCTGATAGCGAAGACAGCTCAATTGGCTCTGATCCAGGGTAAGTTTGTCTATTTTAAAGAAAATTCTTTAAAAAATATCTATCTCCAGTTATGATGCGTCTGGAAAAAGTATTGACGAAATGCCCCATTGGAGCTTCCCATCGAACAGTGCATCGGGCATACAAACTGATAAGATGCTGGAAAAGCATGATTTGGAGACTGCATTGTCCGATGAAAGCTCTAGTCCCAACTATTTAGCTGAAGAACAAGCGAAGGAACCGCCTCAGATTCCTAACCAGTTGCCGTCTTTGAGCTTCCGAGGAAACCCCTCTCGAGGCAAATTTATCGAAGATTTGCAGGGAACTTCATCTGATCCGATAGGATCTGGATCGTCCGAAAGCTCCAACTCAGATTTGGAGATTGATGAAACTTCTTCGAGCAGCTGCCGTCTGGTTGATCCTATTGATGCAAAATTTAGGGACCTTTTCGGAGACAAGTTGACAGTGAAGTTCAAAGCCACTTTGCCATCTTTGGCTAATGACCTTCCAAAGGGGCCGCAGCGTTTCTTACGAATGCCCCAGTTTATACCCGTTGAACCAAACCCGTATGATGCCCAGAAATTTGAGGACCAGATGACTCCGGGTGACTTGAAAGACGCACAGGCACTCGGTGGCTTCGTGAACCGTCTAAAGACAACTGTGAGATGGCGGGAAGGGCAAGACCAAACCAAGGAATCGAATGCTGTGTTAATACGCTGGTCTGATGGCAGCGAGACGTTCCATGTGGGTGAAGAGGCTTTCGATGTGATGCACCATCCGGTAACCGACGACCAGAACCAAATCTATGTCCGCCAAGAGAGCTGCTACCAGACCCAGGGGTCCATCACCGACAAGATGACACTGCGTCCGAAACTAGACTCTACCTTTGGCCAGACCCATGTGCAGGGCATGCGAAATCGTGCTCTGAACCGACCGCAAACGGGCAGTGTTAAGATCCTAATGGACATGGGCGTCAATCCTGTCAAGGACCGCGAGCGTCGCATCAAGGAGGAGATGGCCCAGTTGCGTCGGGAAGAGCGTGAAAAGCGTCGTGACTTGCAGAGCCAAAAGAAGCCTCGCGTGAAGCCCGTGCATCATCCTACGGCTGATGACTCCGACGACCCCAGCGATGAGCCAGACATCCTCTCTATTTTGGCAATTAAAAGAGCAGAAGCCCAGGCACTCCAAGCCAATCGCTATGCGGAACTTGAAAAGGTAAACAAGCAGCCATATTCATTCATTGACGATGGGCCCGAATATGATGAAGCTCTGAAGGATCCCAAGCCCAGCACATCGAAGGCAAGAATGGATTCTGATTCGGATCCTGATGATGCTCCCAAGATCACGCGCAAAACTAAGCACGTTGTTTACTCAGATTCCAGCTCAGACTAAATATATGTTAACGATTTTCCAAGAAGCACGAAGTTGCAATAAACATTATGCATTACCATGACTCCGACACTCTCTTGCTCAGGCTGATAATTAATTAACCATTTCCCCACCGCTCGTTCTTTAGGAGGGGGCTAATGGTAGACCATTGCCGTAATTAGTGGGCGCGGCAACCCCACATATTAGTGCCGGGGCCGAAATTGCTTAAGGTCACAATGGGGTCGTGATTGCAGCGCGGAACACTCAACCACGAGTGCCATTGTCCGGCTGCCAAACTGAAAGCGACGCCCAAAGCAATTAGAGGACGGGTGCACTAGATTGCAGTCTGGTGGTTTCCGGATTAGGGGAAATTTCACAGCACTCGCAAATGAAACTGGACAAAGGTTTTCTTAATTTCAGATTTGGAATTATTTTATATAGAATTTAAAAATGCTAAACAGAATATTTTACAACCAATAGGTAATTTTAATTATGAAATGTGAAGAAAATCCAAAGACCATTTATTGCTAAAATTATAAAAGGTTATAAATTTTCTTTACGTGCTGAATTATGACCAATTTATGAATAGGAGCTTAATTTTAAACCATGCCTTGTATTAATCATAAAGCTCAAAAGTAAGTTCTACCAAACATTTAAGCTAAAATAACATCATTGTTAAGCTAATAATTGAAAAATGTAATTACATTTTTGTTCTATTATTTTGTATTGGGTATGGCTGCTTCCATTTTAATAATAATTCCTGGCGCATAATTAGATCAATTTAAATCAGGTAAGTATTTTGACCCTAAGGGCCTCACGTGAAAAGGCCTTTACTTGTGCTTCCTAACTTGGCTTATTTGCTTCGAAGGCACATAAGCTCATTATAGCACAATGGCATAACAGCTGCCTTTGTAGATGGCAGCGTTTTCTGGGGCTATGCGCTTGAATGTAACTGAGATATGCTGGGGACAAGTTGTTGGGGACGATAAACTAAACTGTCACGGATTTTAGGGTCTGGGCCGTTCTATACGCCTCCGGCCAAATGTCTTGCACACATATTTGCCGACAAGTTTGGGTGGGGCTGGTAGGCCCCGGCAAAGCATGTCAGCCTTTGTGCTAATGCAATTTAGTGCCTCCTGCAGCAAATGAACCCTGATTATGTGTTTATTAGACACCAATTTACGCCTGCTGCAATGTTGCAATGTGTGTTTCATATTGTTGCTCATTTAAGGTGGCTGGCCTATTTAAATTCCACACCATTGTCATAAATATAGCTTGTCGGTTCAAGTTGTGTATTTTTCGACTAGATAGGATGATTGCACTATTCGAAGCCCATTCTAAAACAATTAAGATTGATCAGAGAGCTGAGGCCTTAGGCGTTTCATCTACTGAATATTTGTAATTTGATAGCCATATAGTGATTTGAGTACAGTACATGAAATCCTTTAAATTAATTAAACCTTAGAGTTATGCTTCAATAAAGACGACAACAAATTTTTTATGATCTGACCTATATCAAATTTTTAACAATGTCTGATGAACCCAGAGGTATTTTGTCCACTAACGACCGTAAACAGGATACACTCATTAACCCGAAAGTCTTGGTTTTATGGCCAAGCATATGCTAACCAAAAGCAAACACAATTACACTTATGCACTCAAATTTATTTACAGGACATAAAGTAGATACTCGTTTTAGCACAGTCCTGCAAAAACATCGAGACTCACCGTTGGACAACCGTATCTTGGTAGTTTACATACCTCAAAGGCATTAATTATTTATGAAGAGACAGGCTGAAATAAAGCCCACTGGCAGGGGATGGGAGTAAAAAGAGCGAGGCAGGAATGTAATAAAATTACAAGCAAATGCCGTAAACACGAAAGGTTTTGAAATTCAAGCAAGCGAAAGCGGTATTAAGTTTGCCGGCCGTGACAACTGGCTAACTGGCCGACAGTAATTAAAGGCTATAATAAAGCTAACGTTTCCTTAGCCAGAAAAGGATAGTGAGTGGGGAGGTGGGTGGTTGGGCGACACATGTCAGTTGTCAACGCAGCAATTTGACAGGACCCGCACTGAAATGGCCAGATATATCCATTCCCATGCAGACAGGGGCCAAGAAGGAGGAGCTAACCACAGAAACTAAGCCAAATGCTGACCAAGACAAACCATTAGAGAAAAGGCACAAATAATACAGTCCGAGACAGAAAATATTACTTTAAAATTCAGATAGATATGTTTTTGGGAAATTCTCACATTGAAAGGTTTTTTTTTGTATTGAAGAAAAAATGTTTGATTAATGGAACATGTTTTAGAGAGTTGTTAAAAAAACTTTTTTTATCATAGAAATTTTCGTTACGAAACGCACTGTATTTATCTGAATAGATGCCTCTTCTGATATGCTTGACTTGTGTTCTTGAGCACTTGGCTTTGTAGATTTTATGTCTTGCGGCTTGCATTATAAAATTAGTGACATACTCTAATGTGGCAAATGTTGAACGGGTGGCCTGAGAAATTATGATCGTCACAGAAGGGAAATGGGCGAAAAGGCCAAAGGACTTCAGGGCAACCACATAAGCAAGTCTTACGTCCCTCAAGCCACCCTCCGTATCACTTTCTGTTTATGACAGTTGTTTAAATTTCACAGCCTCTCATTAACAAATCGCAATTACGCCACAAACTTTCATGTGTCTGTGTATTGAGCTAATATTTGCTTATATCAATGAACGCTTAGGCAGCGAAACTATACCATTTAATTCTATTCTATTCTATGGTCGGGATGCTTTTAATGGCATTTCCCTGTGAATGTTTGCACTTTGTAAAGTTTCTGAAATTTGAACGTATTTGTGTATGCTCGGGGGTCATTAGTAGACCATGCATTACCCGACATTCATAAATTACTTTACACTTAGTATGAACCAGTTAAAATCACATATATGTATGTACCCGTACACCCCTTACATCCGCAAATGCATTTAAGCTGTTTCGATGATCAAATTTGTCATTAAAGCCGCTTCATTGAATAAATAATTCAAACACAAATTCATGGCCGTAAATTGCAAATCGGCTTCATTTGACTAATTGTTGAAATTGATAGCAATAATTGATATATTTGTACGCTGATTATTTAGTAAATGGAATGAAGTACTTTGGTGCTCCATGGAATATTTAAGGTGTTGCATAATCAAAAGCCTTAAGCTGTTTATACTTGATGACCAATTAATTATTTTCATTAATATACTTTGTAGAATAATATTTCAATATAGTAAATATTTTTGTAAATGGTAAGGAACTGGTATTTATTTTGATTCTGCACAAAATCAAAAAGCACTGACCCATAGTATATTCCATATTCTCTGAGGTCACTTAATAAACTGTAATTATATAAAAGCCACAGAATGGTGAAAGAACGCACCATATGCCCCTGTGTCTATTTGCCTGGGGGCACATTCTTCATTTTAATGGCTGTGGAAATGAACTTTTGCCACGTGATTTCGTTTGGACGTCCAGGATCCCCAATGCAGTCACATCAATAGATACTTTTTCATAATTAATGTGCTCAGTTATATGTTTATCCAGCACATTTTCTACGGGTCAAGTAATCCCCATGCTCGCTTTAGGTTCATTAGGGAACATAAAATATTTTTCGTTTTCATCAGGAAATGAATTACCTTGTGGCGTTGATTGTGTGATGTTTTCTCTGGAATTTTCCTACACCTGGGAAATGAGTTCACGCATACAAACAATTTTCATGCAAAATTTACCTCTGATTTATTAAATTCCATTGCGATCCTTTTTGCCTTTTACACAATTTGCATACGTATTTTTAATGTATTAAGCCAATTAAGGCTGACACGCATACGGAAATCTGAAACTCTGTCTAGGATCCTTTGACCGATGCCCAGGGACCTGGTTGCCCTTGCTGTCCGGATTAATTTGGGCCAACCTGCTTTGTGTTTCATTAAACAGATTTAGTGTTATTTACTTAAGCACTTAAAATAAATGTGCAAATATTTCCATCAGCACCGAAAATTTAATTTAAATTCCTTTGGCATGTCCTGGCCATCCTTCCTTGAGGTGACAATTTAAGCACGGTCGATGCCATCGGATAATGACGTTGATTGTGTGGCATCGCCTCGGTCCTTTCTTTCGTCTCATTCTCGATTTCGTTCGCCTTGCAGCCATCCATCAATCGCAGGCTTCTCCCGGCTTTCTGGCTAGCTTGGGTGTCCTTAGTATCCAGGGTATTCTGGTTGCCTGGTGCGAGTAGCAAAGGCAGCAAAGGCACATCATGTTGAGATGTTGCCGTTGCTGTTCTCATCCCTTGTCCTGCATCGTGCGCCTCCTGCATCCTTGTTTTCATGCTCGTCCTTCGATGCTCTTGCTGCACTTTGCTCTGACATTTTGAGTTTATGGCATATTTGCATTATAACTCTACTGCCTGGCTCCCCCAAAGTCCTTTCTCGCCGAATCCCGTTCGGGGGCCCATGTGTGTGATTGTGTGTCCTGTATATGGGTGCACTTGAACAATGACGTTGACTTTGTCGTTGAGGTTGCCATGAATGCATGGGCTCTCCTCCGGACTCCTGCGAAGGAGTCCTGCTGACGCAGCTGTTAACAAGGCAAATAACAACGCTTGCTTGCATAAAAATTATGCAAAGCTTAACAACCTACAACTATTTCACCCGCACCCATCGCCTTTAATTGGTCAATTTTGCAGCATCCTTTTAACCCATCGTCGACCCTCCCGAAAACTGAATTTTTGTGGGCACATCCTTCAGCCTTCTATTAAAGCCCAGTGTCAAAGTTTGTCAATGGGCTGCTGCTGTCAGAGGGCGAGTGCGAGTGCATTTTGTCATCGTGACTTGTGGATAGCTGAATAAGGATAAGCTTGCCAAGCACTTGCCAAGGCCATCTGTCATGCATTACAGCCTGGTCTCCTGGGTAGATCTCTTTTTTCTCAATTCAGGCACGTTTTAGGCGTTTAAACACGAGGAAACATCTTACATCTTTTAAGCTTAAATGATTTATTTATTATGTTTTAAAAAACGTATGTGTTTAGTATTACAGACTTACCAATTATTTTT